TCCCTTGCATAATTATGAATAACCTATTAAAGTCGCGTCTTGTCTCCAAAAGATTTGCCCAAACTATCTTGGTCTCAAATTTAATCAAGGTAGGCAACATTATCTCATTGCTTATCTTTCCTTATTCATTTTAAATACACTTTAGTCAAGACCATTAGTAAGACAAAGCTACGCATTTTATAATGGTACAAATTATGATTACGACAACTATGGCTCATCTCCGGTATCTTCTACAAGCTGGGGGGCACCCACTGAACGTACTTCCTTACCAAGAAATACAGTAAGATTACAATACATATATAGATAACTGAATCTGACACGTTTGCGTAGATTATCAAGTTTGTTCCTCAACAAGAGGCATGGATAGTCGAACGCATGGGAAAATTCCACCGTATTTTAGAACCAGGCTTAAATATTCTTGCACCCATTATAGATCGTATAAAGTACGTTAAAAGCCTAAAGGAAACAGCAATCGAGGTTCCTAGTCAGAGTGCCATCACACAAGATAACGTCACTCTCGAGCTAGACGGTGTGCTGTATATTCGATGTATCGATCCTTTCAAAGCATCTTATGGTGTAGAAGATGCTGAATTTGCAATCACTCAGTTAGCTCAAACTACCATGCGTGCGGAGATCGGACAGATGACGTTGGATAGAACATTGGCTGAACGCGCCTATTTGAACGCAAACATTGTGGAAGCAATCAATGCAGCTGCCGAGGATTGGGGTATTCGCTGTTTACGTTATGAAATTCGTGAGTAGCGAGATAGATTATGTGTGTGAGATAGAATGCTAAGGGCATCGTTAGGTGATATACACCCACCTGCTAGAGTGGTCGAATCGATGCATCAGCAAGTGTCAGCTGAACGAACCAAGCGTGCTCAAATCCTAGAATCAGAAGGTGCTAGACAGGCAGCCATTAATGTGGCTGAGGGTAAGAAACAGGCAACCATCTTGGCTTCAGAAGCAGAAAAGGCAGAAAGGATCAATATGGCAGCAGGTGAGGCAGAGGCTATTCTTTTGCGTGCAACAGCGTCTGCTCAGAGTATTGAAAAGATCGCAAGAGCCATCTCAGGACATAATGGCCATGAAGCAGTCTCTGTATCTGTTGCAGAAAAGTATGTCGAAGCATTTGGGCGAATGGCAAAGGAAAGTACGACGATGATTGTACCAGCACAAGCAAATGATGCTGCAGCCATGATAACTCAGGTAAGCTCAAAGGAATTGATTTTAAAGATTTCTAACAGGGTATCGTATTAGGCAATGGGTATCTACAATACAATTAATAATAAAAAGGGTGATAAATCATCTTTACCAAAATCACTCGGCATCAAAGAAGAAATGACTCAGGATTTGCTGAAAGCAACAGAAAAAGAATCTAAATTCCAAGAACCAAAGGATAAATAAATAATTGATTTTATAAAATGAACCTTTTTTAACCTGTTTCGATTATACAAGAAGAAAAGGAATAAATCAGACGAGTAGACCTTTGTTTAAATTGGTTCATTCTTTTCATGTTCATTCAGAATTAAGTAAAAAAAGAAGTAAGGGCATATAATTGAAGATGATTTGAATTAAGGTTCGCGCGAAAAGCTTACCCTCCTTTCCCTTCTATTTTTCAGTTGTAGAGAAATGTTTATTCACGCAGTAGATCATTATTAAGAACACTGTTTTATCATGTACACAAACATAAAAGGGAGAGGGACACGGTGTACAACTTTAATTAGCGTTTATCAATGTCAATGTTTACTAACTTTATTCAGAAATAAACATTAAAGTGACATGCACATTCTTTACACTAGTGACGATATAGTGATTAAGTCGAATTGTTGTAGTAACAGGCTTGACTGGCTCGCCTCTTTTTACCACAATGGTTCTGTGTTTCTCACTCAAATTGATCTACTTGGAGCGGTCGATGAAATTGTGTTCTCCCTTTTGTCGAATTGGATGTACGACTGCTACAGAGGTAATCCATGAATGATGTATTCCAAAGATCTTAGAAAGTGCCACTTGTGAAATTGGATCGGAGTCAACTGAGAAAGACATGTTTCTATTTCTTGGTTAAGACAGCAGCAGAGATGAAGATGATTAACTTTAAATTGCTTGACGCTATTCAGAAAAATCCTAGAACAGCTTCTTGTATTACTGTAAATAAAGCAAGACTCTATTGCCTCATCTTCCCCCCTTCAATCTCCCTTCCGTCTTGTCTTTGTCAATGAATTTATAAAATGCAACATCTACTTTACTACTTGCATTTGTCCTGACAAAGAAGGATAAACTTTTTTGTAACCGTCTAATTTTAGGTTAAAGGTTGAAAGAAGGATAAAAGGAAGCGAAAGGGCAAAGGGTAATGTATAAAGAAAAAGAGACAGCAGACTCCTTTTGACTTATTCTTATTTACTCTCGGGAAATTGTTTGATTACCTGTCAACCCTCCCTTCCTGTTATCAAGGAGTTCACGGTGAACTATAAAAAAAAAAAGCAGAATTATCGGATAGCCTTACTTTTTTTTTTAACCTCCTTAAGCGTATACCTACCATATTTACTCCTACTATAATGTCTAGATGGGCAAAGTAGGCAAAAATTTTTGTACAAAGAGAGGGAGGTGAAGGGAGAAGACGACAGAAAGAAGAAAGGGGAAAGAGAGAGAGAAGTGTGCGTATGTGTGTGACACGAATACAAATTAGTTTGACTCAATTTCATTACTTTAGTAACTGTCTTGTTTCCAAAAATAATCTGCTTGACTTTATTTAAACTTGAACCTTGTAGTCTTTTAATACTCTTTTTTATTTGCTTTTTTTTTTCTTGCACAAAGTCAATGCTATTCTACACTCCTTATCACTAAATACTTTCATTATACTTCTTGAATACCCCTCTCGATATTCTTCTATTTAAACCCATACCAGTCCTTTAATTTCACTGATCATTACTCAAGCATACATCACATACACACACATAAATATATATACATAGAATGAGTCAACAACAACAACAACAACAACAACAGCAATCTTTAACCAATACTAATACTATCAATAGCACTAATACAACAACTAATAATACTGATTATCAGACCAACTTCAACATGTCTTGCCCTGTTACCAAGCTTGATCTTCCTGATCAATCTGTAGCTTATACAGGTAACATACTAATACTAAAGATATCAAATCTGTAGCACATGAACTCACATTGAATATAGGTGCTACCTTTTACGTCTCGCCACTAGCGACTACAACAACAGCAGCTCAGACGACACCATCTTATTTTTACGACTCTGCTTCTGTTCAGCAACCATTTACACCTGCAAATAACAGGGTAACCATTTCTCCTTCTTCTATCATGATCCAAGAGCCTCCTATGTTGGTTGCCTCTTCTTCATCTACTACCACAGCCTCTACCATGTCATCTTCCTCGGTTGAATTCTTAAACGAGGCATTTGCGAAGGCAACTTCTTTGCCAGAGTCATTCTACCCTGAATTCTTACAATACTCCAAGGAGACCTATGAGCAATCTACTGGAGGCGGCCCCCACCGTAAGAAGCAAAAGAGTCATCACTCTACAAAGGGTAAAAAGGAAGATGATCACTCTGATGAGGATGTGAACCCGTAAGTGTATACAAAAAGTCATTTATTAATGTGGTACAAATCATTCTCTTTTCCCTAGGAATGGTTTATCATCTTCCGAACTTCGAAGGCAAATCCATATTCAATCTGAGCAAAAAAGAAGAGCTCAGATTAAGGATGGGTTCGAAGAATTAAGAAATGAGTTGCCTGCCTGTTTGAACAAAAAGATGAGCAAAGTTGCTTTATTACATCGCAGTAAGACATGCTTTTTTTTTTTGTTTTTTTGTTCTGTACATGTCTCACGCATTTTTTTTTCTATAGCTGTTCAACATATTCAGCATCTTAAAGACACACAAATGTCTATCTTGTCAGAATTAGAACGACTCGTTCATGAAAACGAGCAACTTCGAAAGTAAGTCTGACTGTTTGTTTGGATAATAATGACTTATTATTTAGTAGGTTTCAAGAAAATGTACTTCAAAAGCAAGCATTGGAAAACATGTATAGCATGACCAACATGTAAAAGAGCAACTCAAACAAACAGCAATTATATATACAGCAAGTGATCTCTTTCTCTTTCTCTTATTTTCTCTTTCAATTATATATACACATTGACAACCCACCTCACACATAATTGATGAATCCTCCCCCCTTTTTTTTTCTTCTTCTCCTCCCTTTGTTTAATTTTGCATTGACTTCTTTTTTTTGTTTTGCATCTTGGGTATTAAAGTAACCTTTACTATTATATATTTTACACTTTTGATAAATGATAGCACTTGGGCCTTGTTTACTAAAGTAACCAAGGTGCACAGATAATGGTTGAAGCACATACCTTGACAATTGCAGCACATAGTGTGACAACATAATTTTTATACAATATATGTTGTATCACACACCACGTGAAACAAACTTTAGTGTGTGATATTGTCTTCAAAGTCATGCTCTGTTGTCTCTACAATAGCACTTGAATTTTCATAAACCCAAGCTGCATGCTCTGATACTCCTTGTAAAAAGTGAGCCCGTGTTGTTTCCCAAAACTCGGTCAGCCACTGAACATCGGAGCAATGCTCCTGAAATTTAATACGCAGAGTGTCTGGATGCTGAGCATTTGTCTGTCGGCGACTGAGTGCCGGCGTATGGTTTGCATGCAGTCGATTGTTCACCCAAAAGAATCCTTCCTTGTTTGGGCGGATCTGGACAAAGGCAACCCCCGATCGATGAATATATTGATCGTACTTGTAGACGTCCTTGATGTATGAGTACTGCAGATCGACATGCTCGGCCTTGGCAAATTTCAAATCGGCTTCTACGTCAAGAACAAAGTCCAAGTGGCGCACAAGAGCAATCTCATAAAACTGCGTAGGTACATCAATCTTGGCAGCTGTCATCAGTTCTTCCACTGATGGTGGTGATACGGCCAAGGGAATTGGCACCGGACATTGGAAAGGGTTATCGTTCTCAAAGTCCTCATAGGCTTGTTCAACTGATCCTTCGACAAGTTTCAACCCACATCGTTCCGCTTGACGTCCCCAGTTTTGAACTAATTCTTGAATGAGCTGAGCAGTACATCCGAGCCAATTGATTTGGAAGTGGTAGCAGTTTTTGGGGTTATGGATAATGTCATAATGCAAAATAGCCGTCTCTCGTCTGTCACTCTTCTTGTATGGATCAACATCAATGATCATTGACTGAGACATATGGAAATCAACACGCTTGTTAGATGTCGCCGTGCTTGACTGACTGGGTACCTGCTTGAGCTCTTGGTTGTTTTCATTCGTATGATGCGTCTTGCGTGCTGTTGTTGTCGTCTTTGACTTTTTCTTGTCAACTACAAATTCTTCATGTAGTGTATAAAAATAGTTGCCATCTAAAAAACTATGGCGTTTCGTTGCTGAGACAAACAATGGTGGTTTTCGCTGCATGAGTGAGTTGCCAAATTGAACCGCTTGTTCACGTGTGGTGATATCTTCAAGCTGGCTAATCAACCAGTCTACACATTCGCTACCCGTGAAAACATCGTGATACATTTTAAAATGCCACCGTCGGTCCATAATTTTTAACCCTCCTCTTGGATCCTGCATAGCCGCTGCTATATCCTTTGTCTTGGATTCCTTTGTCAACACTGTGAACCAATGACTCTTTGACTCTGGTAAGCTTGTGGGATTTGTTCTGACGGCATCACTGGCTACATAGGCCGAAGGATCCATCGTGGTCAGTCGAATACCAAGGTCAGAAATTTCCCTTTTCCTTTTTTTTTGCAGCTCTTCGCGCTCCTCAGGCGTCAGCCATTTTGCCTTGCGCATATTTTGTACCCACAGCTCAAACAGGGCAATCCGCTTTTCTTCTTCGTCCAAGTGGTCATGAAGTGCAGCAGGGAACGTAATATTTGTCGGCAAGGTCTCTCGAGGTATGAGTATGAACCGCGCACGCCAGAACCTCAGATTATCTGTCAACTCCTCCTGGTATCCTGCGACGAGATGGTCCAAGTAATTCCAGGCATAGAGTAAACTAGGATAGTTAAATGTTACAAACTTTGGACGATACATAGGCATGTTCTTGGGCCATATGGCGCACTGGTAATTGATCTTGTTGATATCAAAGTCAATGATTCGAACATATCTTCTTACTTCCACGTTTTGACCAGAAGAATCAAATGTTAGCTGATGAACTTGGTGCCCCATCGATAGCCACCACACCATATGCTTCCATCTCATTTTTTCGCCTTCTTCTTGCTGCTGTTGGTCTGTGCTTATTACCCCGGTCTGTGCTAGTTTCGCGTTACTCACAGCTGTCGTCACGCTAGAAATGGTATTGTTGCTGCTTCGCATATCCTTGTCCTTGCCCAAGAGACTGCCTCCTAGAGCAGAGATAGGCGCAGCAGGCTCCTTTGGCTTTGTGCCTTGTGAACTTCCTGTGATGTCGACAATAATTTGAAATCCTTGGGCTAATCGTTGACTCAACATTTCGATTAACAAGTTTTCGGTCTTTTTGTGTTCTGACAGGTTTTGGTCGCCTGCTTGATACAGATTGGCGTCTTCGCTGGCTGATACAGTATACATATAATGGTTGTACCGTGCTGCAAGTTCCTCATTTGATGGAAAATAATCTGTAGTGAGAGGTAAGCAAGCTGGCGTGACTAATGATCGCCAGTGGACAACCGGTCCATCAAAGCTTGCGGCTTTAGGTAGAGCGTGCTGCCAGCGCCGTAAATGAGAGGTAAACAGATTTGGGTTGTCTGAAGGGTTGCATGGGTTGATCAGGATATACTTGCAGGTTCGATTCAAGGTATGTGAAGGTGAAGATCGATTGACGCTTGTGCGCAACACTAGGTCGCTATTACCTGACTGCTTGTGAATTGAAGGTAAACTCCGTGGTGAGTGATTCGTCTTGTTTGTCGTTGTGGATGCTCGATTGTTCATATCACCTCTCAGCTTAATTGGCACTGGATCGACCGTGCTACTACTGACAACAACAGCATCATCGTCCTCCCCTCGATCAAATGGCAAGTTCATCGAGACTGATGCGTATTTACCGTCGGTACTGTTCATTGTTCCTCTCCGTAACGATCGAAAACGGTCATCTTTTGCATATGTTGGTGATGGCTCTGAACCTTTTAACTCTTCTTTTCTATCCAAGGGGCCTTTGGTACCCATCGATTGTGAGATAATAGAAGGTATACGACGCTGTTCTCCAGTGTAATGCCAAGTCTATCAAAGGAAATGGTGTAAGTTTTATCTGTTTCATTTTAAACCTTTTTCTTTTTTTTTCTTTTTACCGTGGTTGATTTATGCCGGCTACCTGCGTTCTTCCAAAACTCGTTGGCGTTCTCTATTTTCTCGGGGCTGTCTTCTGGACTCTTTGCATTGTGAAAAGTCTTTATCATTTTCGTTGCCGAAACGGGTTTTTTATAAAATCGTGGTTCTGGGGTACTCTTGAAGAGACTAGCATCGTAAGCCTCATAGGCACGCCTTGAGTAACTGGAGGTTATTTCGCTATTTGCCGCTAAAAAGGACGATCTTCGTATACTTGTGGATATATTAGCAGATCTTGAAAGGTAAGTTGTTGCCTCTTCGTGGCTTGAGGTCATCTTTTCGGTCAAGCTACTACTACTCTTTTGAGGCCGTATAGATTTTTGATGTTCAGACAGGTAAGGTACAGAAATTCCTTTGAGATCATGTTCCATAATACCCATCATCTGAAGCTCATACATTTTACATCTCGTTTTAAACTTATCCTGCTTTAAGAATCGACCTGTTTCGTGATGGTAAAAGCTGCAGTCGACCCAATGGGGAACATTAAAGTACTTTTTGGTTGGTTTATCGTCATTATCCTGATAAAGAGGATCCATGTAGCCAAGTACCTTTGTCGTCGTCGTTGATTTTTCAGGTGATGCACCAAAGTTTGTAAACTGTTTCCTACTCTCGTTTTCATCTATAGCCAAAGGCGCGTCCATATAGTACATAAGTGGTGTGATATGTAAAGGAAGGGGCGACAGACACACAAGGTCCATAGCAATTCCATTGTCTGTCATCCTTTCGTTTGTCAATCGCAAAAGTTTTTTATTCACTGAAAATTTGCCTACGCCAGGTGTGATCAGAATGATGGACAGACCCGTTCGCATTAAATCGCGATCAACATAGTGCTTGTCAAAGGGATTCAATGCTAGGTTGATGGCTTCGAGCACATTGCCTTCAAAGGCCATCGATATTTGACCGCTCATCACTTGTCGTCCATCTGGTTCTGATCGTAAGAGAACAGTAGGCTGAAAATTTGCTTGCTCTTTCTTGAGCTGTCCAATGATCGACATCCAGTCATCTGATGTCTCCCAGTCTGCTAATACCTTGTAAAAGTCCTTATAGTATCTTCCATCCTCTGCCTTGTTGAGTAATGGATCTCCGTTATGAGCTTCATAAAAAACACGTGTGAACAAGACAATGGATACAACATGGTTCGCTCCTTCTTCTTTCCAGCGACTAAAAAGTTGAGGCAAAAAGTTGCTAACTGCCTTTTCAAAATAAAGTTCCCCGTCTTCATCAAACTCCCACATCTCTTTAGACATTTGTATAAATAAAAAGTACTTGGCTGAGGCTGATCGAAATATCAGTCGTGTATGCTCTGTGATATAGCCTGAGGCGATTTCCTGCCTAGCTCTGAACATTCGCTTGACGGTAGCTTTTATAGATCCTGCAAAAAGAATCTTTTTTTCAAGGTAGGCGCAAGTACTTTTGAGACTTTGCTGTAACCTCCACATGTCACTTCGACTTAGATATTGTTCTTTAAATGCCAGTTCGATATGATCAACTGAAACAGATGTGGGATCAATCTATTAAGTAAGCTTTAGCTATAACCTTTCTTATATCCTTTTATTTACCAGTTCCACATAGACTTCCTGTCTTGACCTTAAATTAAACCGATCTGCTAAATCTTTGGATATAGAAAGCTTTCATTGGCATATTTAGTTTTTTTTTTTTTTTCTTTTTTGAGTACACAATTAAAGTAATTTACTTGCAATTGCTTTGTCAAGCTCTCTTTATCTGGCGCATATCCTTTAACAATAACATACTCTGCGGCCTCTTGTTCTTGTATTTGCTGATCTTTCTCTTGCTCGGGTGGACAATGAATTCTCAACAGTTGACCATCTCTGAAATTAGGGAATATCTCTGGATTGACAATAGCATCATTATGGTGAGTTAAGCCAAGATCGTGAATCCACAAGACAATTGGCTTATTAGATAACAAAAAGCCCTTGGGTGGCATTTTTTATTATTGTTCCTCTAAAAGAGCATAAAGTGAGACAGTCAGAATAGAGAGGGTAGCATACTAAATTCAAACACCGCTATGAAAAGCCCAGAGTAACGATAAATACCCACAAAACACAAAATAGTTCTTTCCAATATTCACCACTTGGATACCGGGGGTGTCCTAAGGAATCTCCCAACTCTACACCAATGGTTCTCCCTTGTACATTTGCCACAGAGATCTCAACAACATCCTCATCTGGTTTTCGTAATGCTGTTCAAAGCATTCGTTCGAACCTTGGTAAGCCAGGAGTTCGGCTCGGGGACGAATAACATTACTCAGTGTTCCCATCCTCCACTCCTTTAAATCTACCTATATGCATATGATTAATACTAATATTATGAACAATAACCCATATGATATTATTACTAACATTTCTACTAACCCAACTACTTGTTCTCCCTCCCACCGTTCCACTCCAATCCAAATTGGTTCTTTCAACTGCCGACATTTGCTTAAAACTAGCGCACTATCAGTTACTTCATCCTTCATTTACTACCTCCGCTATCAATCCTTCGACATTCTCACATTACAAGATACAAACTCCTTTTCCTTCGAATCCCGACAACAACTCGACCTACAGTTTCAGACAACTGTATCTATTTGGCCTAAATACTATGGCATAGTTAATCTTAACCCTGCTCTCATCCTCTCCAACTAATTTGTTACCACTGATGGTCGTTTCATCTGTTGCCAAGCGTCTCACCAACCCCATGTTTCTGAGCCTTTCCTTCTTATCACGTTGTATGCTCCTCCCTTAGCGCCAGAGCGTCGCGAGTTCTTCCATAGGACCCTTCAATTGCCTCTCTTTTTCCACATTGTGTCTTTCTATAATCCTTTCGAATCTGACCCTCAGTGTACTGTTCCAAGCGGCGACCTCTCTTAGATTATCATCACCGGTGACTTCAACTATCATCCTCATTCTTCCCGACAATTATCCCACCATTCAGACATGTCTTTCTCCATCACCGCTCAGTCTCAGTGGCATCAATTTGTTAGTACATACCTAACAGAATGCGTCCACCCTTCTTTGGACCAATCTATGCCCACCTCTCGTAGAGATAATGTGTCTACTACCATCGATTATGTCTTCCTATCCCAATCTCTCAAATCCCACCGCACTCGCTCTTCAGTGACCTTCATTAATAGCTTTTGGACTGATCATGCTTTATTGAGTGTCTTCTTTAAATTTAGCAGTTCACAACAAGGAAAGTGTCGTATTTATCCTATAATACTTAATCTTGTTGTATGAGATTACTATAAATCTATACTCTAAGAATGAATAATGCAAAGATACTGACAACAATACATGTTATTAACCTATAACGCGATATGCCCAACTATTATTGGACATAATTAAATCGGTTCCTTAATAATTCTATCTTCATATAAAATGACACTGTTTGTAAGAATGAGCTCTCTCTCGTCTTAATGTACAATAAAGAGGTTATATAGAGACTCATCGACACACATTTCCCTTATTACCTCTTCATATATTCGAGACATATCACAGAAAGGGTTTTTGGCGAGCTAACCCGTTTTTAGCAATTAATCGCTTCTTTATTAAACGTCTGAGATCCGCTTTAGATCAGCTTTGTTCCTCTGTACTTGACATTCATCTTCCAATTGAGGGTCCCGCACTCACCTCAGGACCTATGGGATCAAGTGAAACAGGAAGCTAAACGGATCACTCGCTCAGTGAGGCGTAGACGAGCATCCTGGCGACAAAAAACACTTGATAGTCTATAGCACCAACGTAATCATCTTCTAACTAATCACTCCCTTCCCGACTCATTACATCCCCGTTTATCCTCGATTGAAGCAAAAATTAGTCATATCCAACAGAATCTTGCCGACTCTAAAGCTCTTAAGGCACGAAAGCACTGGCAAGAGCATGGAGAACTTTTTGCGGATTCCATAAGAGCACAATTGATCGTCAATTTTCTTCCCGTCACATTGCACAACTTCAACATCCCAATGATCCAACTCACATCTGCAAGACGCCTGCTGAATTACAGGATACTACTGTTTATTTCTCCCGTTCTCTGTTCACTCCTTCGCTAATCGATCAATCCTCCGTAAACGGTCTTCTAGAGACTATTCCCAAGTCTGATGGCATCAATTCTAATGAAGCTGACTTGCTTCTTGACCCTTTTACGCTTGATGAGCTATTAACCGCTACTAACCGTGCTCCCAGACGCAGCAGTCCTGGCCTGGACGGCCTTCCGCATGAAATCCTAAAGCTTTCATTCTTTCACATTGGCATCTTGTGTTTGGCTGCCCAGGTTTTTGACGATGCTCTACTCACTGGAATCTTCCTGGCCTCTTGGCAGAATACATGCATTTCTCTGTTACTAAAAAAAGGTGATCTGACTACACCCGAAATTGGTGTCCAATTGTTCTCATTAATGCCGACGCCAAAGTTTTCACCCGCCTACTAAATTCTAGACTCATGAATGTTCTTGAAACCAAGATCTGTCAGCATCAACTAGGCTTCATGCCTGGACGTTTCATTGGAGAAAATGGGCGTATCCTCCAACTGGTAATGATCGCAGCATTCGTTAATCGCTCTTCAGCTGTTGGGCTGCTTTTAGATCAAGGAAAAGCCTGTGACCGCGTTCACCCTGACTATCTTTTTCAAGTCCTCTCTCGTTTCGGTTTGCCCTCTCAGCTGACTAGTACCATCACGAACTTTTTCTTCTCCACCTAGGTAAGTATTAACGTCAACAGCTTCCTAACCAAACCCTTCCAAGCTCGACGAGGTCTACACCAAGGAGATCCACTTAGTCCTTTGCTCTTCAATCTCGCATTTGACCCGTTCCTCCGCCTCATCTCTCAAGACTGGCAGCAATTTTTGACAGACCACCATATCTCCACATGGCACGATGCCCAATCTCTTTCGCCTTTATGATATCTTGGCTACCCCGCCTACAACTCTCCTCAACAGCGTAATGTTTTCATGGAACAGCTCATTACGTCTATCAGCAATGCGTGCAACATCCACTCCTAGCGCCAACTGTCCATCCGAGGTAGGGCAACCGTCCTCAATTCACTTATTCTTTCCCGTCTGTGGCATGTGCTCCGCTTGATACCTCTAACGAAGTCTCAGCTTTCTCGTATACGTAGTATTTCGTCTAGATTTCTGAATGGGGGTTCTTTCCCTCACACTTCCTATGCAATACTCACACTGCCGCGAACAGTCGACGGAGTGAAGATTCTTGATCCCGAATCTCAACTTAAAGCTCTACAGTGGAGATGGCTCTTACATTTACTAGTACGAATTAATTTTGGTGCTTCCAAATGACAGTAGCAAAAGACTACTTAATAGGAATATAAGCTTTTTCATCCTTTTTCTCTCCACCAATTTTTACTGCTGTTAACTGATAAAAAAGCATATTCATTAATTTATCAATCTTTAAGTATGTATTACCCTATATTTAACAAAGACAATTTACTAATAAAAGCTGTCTATAAAAAGCATACAAAAGTCTCAGTTTCTAGTTGTTGTAAATGCCACAGGAGGAAAAAAAAAAAA